CTATCATATGAATACATTTGAAAACTAGTGCAGACAAATGGAAAAACTGAATGAATTAAAAGAGTATAAACGGTCAAGTTAGTGTAGTAATAATAATAATAATAATAATAATAATAATAATAATAATAAAAAAATATGATACATTTATGAGAAAACTATGTTATACTTGATAGTTCAGAAAGGATTGAATAAAAGAATGGATTCCTAACGTAATAATTCAAAAGCTTGACACACCGTCTTTCGTCAGGATCGAACCACTAACTTTCCCCATAACGCAATCAGTCATAAAAGGTAAAATACAAAACCATAGGTAAATACGAAAGAAAAAGATATAGCCTCGATATCAAACAGACATCATAAAAGAGGAGGCTTATTAGCGGGTCCCTAGATTATTGAGATATCTAAAAATAACACAATATAGTTACTATTTAGGTATAGGTTCGTGAGATGGACTATAGGTCTCATACATCTAGCCCTTACAGTAAGATTCCTGCGACAAGGAACAAATAGCACCTTACTCCCCTACTAAACCCAGATAATCTAAAAAACAAAAGCTTGCTCAGGATACTTATTAGAGATTGAATGAGATTGATTTAGGTACCAAGCAAATAAGTATAAATACATTTACGATTTTCTGGAAAGTTCAAAATCGGAATATTAAAAGAGCTACGAACAAAAATAAGAAGGGTCTTTCATCATGGTCAGTCAGTCAGTCAGCTACAACGTAGGACCAGGCACATGTATGCATCGGTCCAGGTTGCCATACCGCATCAGCACAACAAGATGAACACCGGATTCATAGCAGTGGTTAGGTCAAAGGTGGTAATATATAAGAGAAAGATTGCATATTGAGATATAATACTAGAAGAAAGAATTGGTTCGTAGAAAGAAAGATATGAAGCGATTTTAATCTCTTAGTTTAAGGAAGACAGAGGGTGTATACACCGACGCCATTGTGATCGATTCTGAGCCATGTCACCAAGAGTCTCCAACCATTGGTTACGATAGTCACGCGGACCCCAACCAAGTAGTCTGCATCTACCAACATGGCTCAGACTAGAAGTTAGTGACTTCAAGCACTGATGCCACGTTTTGGTTTGGCCGCCCCTAACTTTCTTCCAACCATCCCCTACACCGGTTAGCATTGCACGTCGTGGTAATCGGTGTTCAGGCATACGTAACACGTGGCCCAACCATCTCAGTCGATGAAGATTCATAACCTCATCAACTGATTTACCATCATTCCCTAATACCCTGCGTCTAACCTCACTATTACTTACCCGGTGATCCCAGCAGATGCCAGCAATATTTCTAAGGCATCTGTGGTCAAATACTAGTAGCTTACGGGTGTCTTCTACTCTTAAGGGCCATGTTTCGCTGCCGTAAATTAAAACAGAACGGACTGCCGCGCAGTATACTCGTCCTTTTATTGATAGACGGATATCTCGCCTTCGCCAAAGGTGACGTAAGTTGGCAAAAGCCAAACGAGCTTTTCGAATCCGTGCTGAGATTTCGTCAGACACCAACCCATTAGGGCTGATCAGACTTCCAAGATAAGTGAAGTTGTCAACGCGTTCGACTACTTCACTCCCTATCCTTAGTTCAGGTGTTGACGCAGACCAGTCCTGAAGCAACAACTTGCATTTAGAGGGAGAGAAGCGCATCCCAAACATTCTGGCATTGTTGCTTAGTGCTACCAGAAGACTCTGCATTTTGTCAGCGTCTTCACCAAACAGGACTATGTCATCTGCGTATTCTAAGTCGATAAGTGGACCTCCTGGAAGGAGATCAATACCCGAGAATTCAGTCGACGAGAGTGTTATTTCCATCAATAGGTCTATGATGAAGTTAAACAAAAATGGAGAAAGTGGACAGCCTTGACGGACACCACTTGAGGTTGCAAAAGTAGATGACAGTTCGCCATAAGCCCTGACTCGACTAGTAGTGTTCGAGTAAAGAGCCTTCACAAGGTTTATGTACTTCTGAGGTACGCCTTTCAATGACAGACACTGCCACAGAATCTCGCGGTCTACAGAGTCAAATGCTGCTTTTAAGTCAAGAAAGACCACCATCGTCGGACGCCGATAAGTATGCCTGTGTTCTAGAACCTGACGAATGGTGAATATGTGGTCGATGCAGCCACGACCAGGTCTAAAGCCAGCTTGGTTCTCTCGTGTTTGTAGTTCACGAGTCTTAGTTAGGCGTCTGATAATTATCGAGGCCAGTATTTTAGATACTATATTTGTTAAACTAATCCCTCTGTGGTTGTCACAGGATGATTTTGACCCTTTCTTATATATTGGGACGATAAGTGATTGCGACCAGTCAGATGGGATAACGTCTAATTCCCAGATCTTAGCTAAAATATTAGTCAACCTAATCGCTAAAATTGGACCACCATCCTTAAAGACTTCTGGAGCCAATCCATCTGGACCAGCTGCCCTTCCTCGTTTCAGATTAACTATAGCCTTCTCAACTTCAGCAAGAGTTGGGGGACCTACTTCAATGTTCCATTCACACTGTCTGGGAATGGAGGGTAGTTGTAGAGTAGCTGAAGGCCAGCTGAACTGTTCTCTAAAATGTTCCGCCCATCGTTCTAAACGTCTGGACTGGGAGCAGATGAGAGTATCATCTTTTTCCGAAATAATCTCACTTACACTTGACTTATTAATTCCAGTTTCTTTTATTAGTCTGTAAAGCTGTCTTGTGTTCCCTATAGTCGCCGCCTTTTCCATCTCTTTTGCTTTCGTTGCCCACCACTGCTCACGGTCGTTCCTTAGACTTTTTCTTAACCTAGATCTGATTTGTTGTCGCTCTTCATCATGTTCAGAACCTGATGGGACGAGTTTGCGAGAATCCATCAGTGTGACAGACCTTGAAGAAATCCACTGGTTCCTTGTAACTCTGTGGTTTAAGTCACTAATAGATGTCACTGCTGTTTCCACAGCTGCTTGTATCCTTCCAAGCAACATCTGGGTCAGCCTCGTCTTCACAACTACCTAAGTGTGACCTCAGTTGTTCCTGGAACCTACTTTTGGTTTTCTCGTTACTCAACTCAGTTCTAATGGGTCTTTTTAATGTGGCTTTTTTGCGTCCAGTGAGGCGCAAGCAGATGCGTGCCCGTATTAGGGCATGGTCGGAGTCCAAGCAGGTACTCCAGAATGAGCGACAATCTTCTACCGACCCTCTCCAACGATGACTGATGGCAATATGGTCTATTTGAGTCCATCGTTGGTTTGGTGTAGGGGGTCGCCATGTTAGACGATGTCTCTCCTTATGCTTAAAATTTGTGTTTGCTAAAAATAAACGATTGTCTGAGCATAGCTGCAGCAGACGATCACCATTATCTGTTCGCTGTGTCGGAATACTAAAATATCCACCTAAATGCCTTTCTGTTTGGTTTAAACTACCTATCTGAGCATTAAAATCACCTGCTACGAGTACTATGTCTGAGCGTTTAGCTTTCTGAAGAAGTTCGGATAGCTTTCTGTAAAATTCATCTTTCACTTCATCTGAGCTGCAGTCAGTGGGAGCGTAGGCAGAAACGACAAAAAGGCAACGACGTGTGTCCCTATCCTTCCGAGTTCTTACGGAGCCGTTCAGCCGAACAGCACATAGACGACTGTTGACGGGGATCCACTCTAGCAGTGCTTGTTCGGCCCTCATGCTTAGTGCTATGCCTACACCTGCCAGTCCACGAGAACTTGCCATCGGGTCACCAGATACACGAAGGGTGTATCTCGTTGGCTCTCCGTTTGCCGAGGTGAGGTCAAGTGAATGACCACACTGGAATCCTGTATGCGTGTTTCGGAGACACAGCATACATCAATGGAAAGAGACTCTAGGGTTTTAGCCAAGGAAGCCTGCTGACCGATTTGACATAGGGTGCGTACGTTGAAGGCTCCAATGTGTAGTTTGGAGCGAGGTTTCAGTAGACCTGGGACAGTGTTTTGCGCACTAGAATCGTTGGCTATGGTGACACTTGAGGAGGAAGCCGAAGAGGAAATTTAGAGTTGAAAGTCGATGTAGGAGGAATAATAGGAATTGAAGAGGAGGTTGATTATGAATACAGTGGTCTTGAGTGCTGTTAGAGTATGAGGGCGGTTATCACTTCCCGGTTGCCCACACCGTGGAAGGGTTCTTCTGGAGGTACCTGAAAAGGAAATTGGATTAGGTGGTCTTAGTGACCTGAGAGCGTGACCGCAGTGCCCAAGGGACAACTGCTTGAGGTCGGTCACACACGACCTTGTTATGGGTAATTTTTGTGTTAGCTCCGTACTTATTGAGACCTTACCGCCGGAGACGGATATCCGTGGGATAAGGCGAGGTGTGCATTTTTAGGGTCGACCTTTTCTAACCCCACCCCTCCTTGTGGGAAGGCAGCATCGCTGTCATGCTGGTTGTCTGAAGGAAACACCTTACTGCTGTCACACCTCTGTACAGTCAGCAGTACGACTTCGCCTTCGGACCTTGGGTTTGTTGCTTTTAGTCTTACCGCTCTTCAACCGACCTGTCTGACATGGTAGGACCTTGAGGAACGGTTGTTCCAGCCAGTATAGCTCGGTTGCTTCATCACGATAGGCAAGCCCGACCACCACGTCAAGGTAGCAACAACGGTCGGGTTTCATTATGGTAGAAACAAAGGGCAGGATAAGCAGATAATTATGGTCGACCAAGCAGAAATACAAGTTTACAAAACAGAACTAACAAAATGGTCATCAATAGAAGCCTTGGGGAGATTCACAGATTGTCGAAAAATTCACATAAGGCTTCGTGAACGAATGGTGTAAATTAACCAGCATATTCCGATAGGTAGAACGTTACTGAATAAATGAATGAAAAGGGCATCTTTAATAATTCACTTTATTAGTTTACTAGAGCTTACGAATATTCAATAGCTCTAGTCTTATACATATTTAAATATTAGTGCTTTGAAAAAGTCATCTTGTTTATGATAGAAAGAGAACATGATTAACTGTTTCTCAAGTTGAAAAACTTACTAATGTAGAAGATAATGGTTTCTTCTGAATTTCCTCTAAAGCATTTGTACCATTTGATATGTTTTGATCGATGGAAGGATTATGCACTTCTCTATTTAAAGGGGTAGAATTTTTATGTAGTGTAGAAGGAAAATAGGATACAGCTGAAGTTGGACTGATTGGGGCTGATGTTGGTCGATTGTAAACATCATCATCATTAGTCGTAATGCGAGTAAATTCAGGCAAAGAAATTTTAGGATTAACCGTTACAGAATGACTTTTTGAGTCGAATGATCCACCTGGCTTCAGGGCTTTACTATTATAATTGCTAGAATAGTCAAACATTTGACTGGAAGACGAATTTCTGCTGCCACAAGAAACTGACGAGGATGACTGAGAAAGCATATTTGGAAAATATTCAAGTCGGAAGTATTTGTTTCGCCAAGCAAGCTTTAGTGAGAATCAAAGATTAAAAGAATGTCAATGAAGGATTCACACATAAAAATACATAAATATCGGGACTTATAACGAAAAAGCAACAGAATTATTTGGCTTGGTAGTAATGCAACTTAAGGTTTAGAGCATAAACGCACATAAGTTTAAGGTACTCTGCCTACAGCAATGGTCATCCAGTTAATCAAAGTTAGTATAAATGGAGACGTTGGGCGACCCGACTCACAATCGGTCACAATGACGTAGATGCATCGATAGTTTGTGTTTCCTAGGATCTTAAATTTCAAAATTACTTTATACCTGCGAATTAACTTTTTACCCTGGAATCTCATTCTCTGAACTTTTTTACTATCACCAGCACTACTACTACTTATACCTTAATATTTATTTTGACAATTTTACCACCCTGTACTAATGTACTGTGGCAGTTTGAATCGATGCCAATACATCCCGGGTTTTATGTTGCTTATGATTGGCTAGGAGGCCATTGTAGAAATTGACATGAATATTTATCGATCAATGCCGACATACCTAGCACGCGCAAAACCAGGCACGAAATTAAAAGCGTGGAAAGCAGAGGGGGAGAAACAATGCAATGCAAAGCTGAATATGAAAAATAGAGTTCAAAAGCAACAACTGAAACAAGAATAAAAGGCATTAAACGACATAAACTCAAGATTTAGTAGAAGACAGAGAATAATGTAACCGCGTCAAAACAAACACTTTCGCGCATCTCAAACAGTAGACAGCGATCGACACTAAATGATTTCATAGATTAGTTTAATGTCTTGACTTGTCTTCACATCACTTTCTTCTGACCTATTTTTACATTAGTTACCATATTGCGTAGAAGCGGGTGGTGCTGGACGACCATAAGAGATTTAGATAGGTGATTATTGATAGAACAATTATCAGTAAGAAATTTGTCTTCAAGATAGACGTTAAGCAACATACTTTCGAGAGAATAGCCGATATGGTGGTAAGACACCCATAACAATACATAAGATGTTTCAAAAAAAGTGACACGACTTACCTCCCTACCCCGATTATCAAAAAAGGCAGAAGGAAAAACAACTGATTACTTTGTAACCTTCATTTTGATTCCTGATCATCCATGTATTACTCGATAAAAAGCTGAATCACACTATCTTAATCGAGTACATTATATATAATTAGTTGGTCAGTGGTTCGACTTCATTTTAGAAACTTAGCTATGATCTACGGGAGAGTAAGTAATCAGTTATGATACTCCAGTTATTTGTTTTATAAAATCGCATTAACATTAATGAAGAACATTTTCCTAACATTTACCAATAAAAGAAGTAAGTATATAGCAAAACGAGATTGTATTTTACGTACCAAATCCTCAGGAATAAGTAATTCAGACAGTTTTGTTACAAATGCCTCATCTAGACTTTCCTCATTAACTTTTGATATAGTACCAGTAATATCTTGAAATTTTTCGGAACCGTTATGACCAAAAACAGAGATTTCAGTCTTATTCGTCGATAACAATTGACCAGATAATGATTCTCCAAGAGGTGTCGAAAAATTCAAATCATTACATTCATTGGGAGAATCATCTGAATCGGATGTGAGAGATACCGCCCCATTAACAAGCACTTCGTCATTTTCCGGTAGACTCTGTTAATGTGAAAATATTTGAAAGGAAATTAGCATTAAAATAGATGTAAATGTAAAACTACAGTTATACCCTCAATGGTACATTAATTTATACAAAATTAGTTTTCACTAACTAATGCTTTTCGTTCACCTGGTGAAAATCGAAACTTTGTTGAACATACAGTACATTCATAATTATGATCTACAATGTTAGAAGATCAATTGAAAATTTTAGAAAGTTTGACACAAGTTTTTTATTCTACAAAAACACGTTGAAAAGGTTTAATAAATCAGATCCGCACAAAATTGATACAAAACAACATATTTTCTAAGAAACCCATTGAAAGAACAATTTACAAAATCTATTACTCATACAGTGCGTTACGTCTGGATATTGAGCACCTATTATACCTAATGTTTAGCTTAAATCTAGACTTTCAGAACTTCTAAGCCGTGAAGGTGATGTGAACTCTGAGTGAGGTTCTATTCAAGTCAGTCAGTCACAACGTAAAACCTGGTACGTAGGTACATCTGTTCAAGTGGCCATACCTCGTTAGCACAGAGAGATGAAATCATCAGGTCAAATTTCAGAAAAGTAGAAGTAGCAATGGTATTAGAGATAATATGAAAGATTAGGCATCGAAGATACGGCTCGAAAAAAATAAATTAGTGAAATAAGCCATGTCGCTTGAAACATTATCAGTAATGGCTGACAATATAAATTAGTAGATGTCTTGTAGTTTGTCTCATGTTTTGCAAAAGTGATACACAAATGTTTTCCTGTATCTTATAATAAATAGTGATTGTATAATTCCTCCTACAGCTTCATAAAGTATTATCATTTGTCAGTCAGTCAGCGGCAACGTAGAACTTCGTACGTACGAACGTACATCAGTTCGAGTTACTATACCACATTAGCACACAGATACAATTGAAGAATTCAGAAGATTAGAATTTGAGAGAACACAAAGAGTGGATGCACCTGCGCCAATGCAAACGATTTTGAGCCATTTCATTCAAGGTCTCTAACCATCGGTTGCTATTGTCTCGCGAACTCCATCCAGGTAGTCTACACCTACCGACATAGCTCAGTCAACTTGTCAGTGGCTTCATGGATTTGTGACGTTTTTTGGCCTTATGAGAAAACTTTTTGGTGGCCTCTTGTACCAAACATACTGTATTATGAATCGGTAAGTATAAAAATTTAGGAACGAAGATTTAATTCAACGTTAGTTCAACTGTACTTACATATTTGCGAACAATATTGTAGTTTCAGAAACTTATAAAAACTAGTAACGCAATATGTGTTCAACTAATGTGGTTGGGTGAGTACATAATGAAATCGAGTTCTAGAATCCACTTCGATAAAACAATATACTGCGTGATAAGAAAGTGTTTTAAGTAGATTCTGACCGTTGTGAAGTTATCATTAGTAATTACTAGCACGTCCCAACAAGGTTTCCTACAACTGCTAACTTTGGACAACTTGACCTAGTTTACTCTTATACTATTATTTTGAGACAGTTTCTTTGATAAACCGTTCGAGTTACTTTGTGATAGAATTTAAGAATGCACTTTTCGCTTTAGATCAAACCCAAATGATATACGGAAGGTATACTAAGATTTAGAGCATATTTTTAGGATCGAAAGTGGTAAAATATGTTCATGAGGCTTGTAGAACTACGTTAATGCTTCTTAATACAGTTTTCTGTTAATCTTGCTATTGAGTAATGAAAAAAGAAACTCAACTTCAGAGAATTTCATCTGTCATGTTACTAGATACAGCTACGGATGCTATACGACTGCTAATACTTACAAAAATAGAGAACTAGAACAGATTGACTTTGACCAAAAACACCTAACTTAAACCAATGATAAGTCTTTTGCCAGAAAGTACTAGTTACAACAAAATTTTATTTTAAATGAAGCTATTAGTGAAAGATTAATAACGTTACTTTAGAAGACAACTACCATTATACGATTACTTCATCCTCCATTATGCAAATGGAAAATCAGATTAATTGATCAATCAACTTACATGTACCGTAAATTCATTAGGATATACACTACCATTGCCAATCGGTATTAAACTGTTAGGAATATCAAATCTACGAGATATTTTTATGTCCATAGGTTGTGATGAATTAATTGAAACAGGCTTTAATAGTTCAGTGGAAGATTGCTTCACATCTGATAACACATAAAGGCTTGTATTACTTCCTCGTGTAGTAACTGACCATCGTGGACTATTATAAGTAAAATTATCACCTTGTACTCCATCAAGATTAAAATTAAAAGGTATTTTGTTATTTGATTCAGGATTGACACTATGATTATGATTGCTATCATCACAATCATTGAACTCGAACTGTCTTGGTGAAATAGACAGTGGTGAACATTTCCATAAAACTGACAATTTTGAATAGGCTGACTGAATTGTGAATAGTATAATCGACCTGAAGATAGGAGATTATTACTACAGCTATTCATATTATCTAAATTATTATTATGATTAGTAAAAGAGAAATCATTCTGTTCCAACTGTTCATCAGAAGCAAAAACATCAATATTTTCATCTGGAGAAAGTACACATTCTTGTTGTTGAAATTGATTAACATACGTACATGAACTCACTGTTAACTGTGCAGGACCTGATTCAGGAGATATACATTTATCTGAATGTTTGGGAAAAGGATAACTACCATTAATAAGCGATGATAAAGATCGTAGATATGATTTCGATAAACCAGAACAAATACCTGTATCATCAGATAGAGAAGAAAGACGAAGTATTGCTGGTCCAGGACTATTTTTCTCATTGCATACATTATCTTCAAAAAAACATTGACTTGATGATTTCATTATTGTGGGAGAAACACGATTCGACAAAGAAAATTCTCTAGATTGTTGTTTATTAGATCTCGAATCCACGTAATTATTAATATCATCAAGAGAACGCCGATATGAGTTTCGACTAGAAGCATATCCTTTGATAAACAAATTTCCATCTGAGTTCACTTCCTCAGAAGTATCAATTTTTAAATTTGGTACCGTTATTTTTATTGAATCAGAAGGGTGGTCATCACCTAACAGGTTAGTTGTAGGTTGAGACAATTTTTCGTAGTTGATATTTGAAGTGGAATTAGTCTTGTGAGGTGCTGGATCGATGGATGGAAGAGATTTATGTTTGGTAGATGAAATAGTTGAATTTGTAACTGAATGAGCATTATTTGGTGTTGCCTCAATTACATCTTGAGGAATATCTAGGGTAGGATTTACTTTACTTGTAGACAAAGCAATACCATAAAAAGCACTCCAAGACTTAATGAACGAACTTGGCAATCCGGTTGAAGAAGATGCTGAAATGAAATGACAAACAATGAAATCAAATCACTACAATTTACGACATAACTATTAAAAATCACATTGGAAAATGTGTAAAAGAAATTGAATTTTCATAAATGCGAGGAGTCAATGTTCGTTAAACCGTTAAATTCGAGAATAAATCAAGATTTGATGGATAAATAATGAAAAAACTGCGCCGATGCACTGTTTAAACAATTTACAAACATGAACACAATTATTCAAGTCCAATCCCAAAAAAGCTTAAATGTTTTAACGTGGTTAGTCGTTGGAGGTTTTCGCATCATCATCATCATCACCATGTGTTTATGTGCCATATAATTTAGTAGTTAGATTCTACTCATTACTGTCAAGTATTGAGTATGTTTCTCAAATAAATGAAAGACCAAAAACGATAGTTTAACTTGTAAACTGGATCAGCAGAGAAAATGTTCTCACCTAAATGAGTTTAAAACGCATATTCCAAATCAATGACGCGTAGTGGTAAAACAATTTTGATGGAGTAGTGACACGTGAACTTAGACTAACTTAAGACTAATGCTTCAGTTACTCCACTGCACTGTATGTTAGATATGCAAGTCAAGAGCTCGAAAGCGATAGACTATTTTGGTTAAAATCTCAAGAAAAAATAGTAACCTTTTCGTGATTTGGGAGTATGTAGGAAACTCCGAATCGGTTCATAAAGCAGTTTACGGAAGATTTAAGTTGAATAAGCGTTTGACTTGACCGGTTGTTTATTGGTAACCTATTCCAGAGACTTGCGTAGCGTGTGATGAAGTCAACTTTAATTTGCTTGATATTCTCGATATGTTCAATACAAATTCCTGGTTCCGAAGGTTATAATTACTAGTTTTAGCAAATTTTAACGTGTCACAACTTACTGTAACTCTAAAAATTCGCTTATGGTTTACAAATTAAGTTTGAAAAATTCATATTCTTTTAAGTTGTCGATTTCAACATATTTCGTGAGAAAATGAATGTTTTACTAGTTTCTTAGTAACGTATGTTGTTACCTATAACTTTATACTAGTAATGAGAAAAACTGGCTCTCGTGTATGTTCCATGAGTACTTTACGTGCACTCATGTAAAAACCCTTTTGTATCGACGTCAGTATTGTAAAAACCACCAGGAATAACTCTAAACTACTCAACTAAATATGTGCTGTTGCCGACGTTTAGACATTATCGCAATTTTGCTTGAATTAGTTAGGTTTAATGTCAGATAAGTTACGTAATTCAATCAAAGGTGACTGTAATAATTTCGATATTCCAGAATTAGAAAATCAGTAAAGGGTTTAATGACATACCTTCTGTTTAGCATGGAACATACCTAGCCGTCCTATGATTCGTTGTACGAGTGCAGTATCAGATAATCAACAGATATACAACGCATTACTGTCATAGGTCTTGAAGTTTGTTTTAGCCGTAAAGGCAAGTGGTTGGAAGTTATAGAATACATGTGATAAAACGAAAACAGTGAAAATGTAAACCAACTATCATCTTTGTGGTATATCTACCTTGCATTTACATAACAACACAAGAAATTGAAATGTATGAACACAAATCTTTTGTTCATATATGAAAGTGACGATAAATTTTCGGTATTGATTGTTTTATAAATAAAAGTTATAATTCTAAGTGGTAACTGGTTAGCTTCACCATAAATAGATCACAAGATTGTAGTCACGATCTTTTTTCATGTGATATATTGAATAGTTAGAAGACGATGTGAACAAGGTTAATCACTAGATAGCAACAACCGGTTATTGATTTGTAATAATCAGTTAGGAAAATAATTATATTTTAAAATATTCATGTTTAACGGATTATAGCTTACATCTAATGGTTAAAAAAATAAGAGATTACAAGAAAATAAGTCCAAACGTACAAAACAGGAACTATGTAAGTTAGTGAATTACTTTCGAGTTCATGAATTAGACTACTTAAGTTATAAATAGGACATAAGGATGAACCAATAAAACTATCATCTATAAAGTCATCGGCGGAAGCTATAGCATTATAATTAAATCGAGAAGTAGGATTCAGAGAACGTAATATTCGCAGTCCCTAATAATCATGAAAGACTATTACGTTAGATGTTTGCATAGTATTCAAGAGAATCAGTAAATTGAAATAAAATAAGAAAGATTGGTTCAGAGAAGAGCTCTCTTTTCGGTAAATACACAATTATGAATAAGAAAAATTAACAGATATTAAGACAATGGTAGATGAAGAGGTTGTACCAGTTTCATTTGGACATATAATTCTAGTTTATCCAACTGTATAGCAAGAGCTTCGGTAATGTTAAGGAGATGGATTAAAACTGCCTTTGGCAGCCTTCTACTTACCTCTTAGATGATTTTGAACGCAGAAGCCGCATTAGTTGAGTGACCTGTGTTCACATGATTTTCGATTATCGAACTTCTTATTTAATCATTTCCGCCTGTTTTCAGTCAAATCAGATAGTATTCTCGAATTCTTTTGGAGAAAATTCGCATTGAACGACCTATATACCTAACTTCACATGAACAGAGAAATTGGTAAACAAAGAGTTGGTCAAATGAGATAATTTATCCTTAAGATTTTTGGTGAGCATTGATCGGCTGGAGAACACAATTCGCAAAATTGCTATGAAGAATGTTCCTTTGAGAGTCGGGAATTCCCCTCTTCCAAACGTCTGTAATTATATCACCTTTGAACTCGATGTTCACAGCTGGGTCCCCGATTAGACGAAATCGAATACGAAGAATTTGTAGTCTCGGGGTCACAAATAGTGAACTGAGCCTTCTTGAGAAAACACTTATCCAAAAGAGTATCCATCTATATTTATTGACAAGCATATAAAACTCGAACCGCCTAAAGCGCAAATAAGCTATATAGAAAAGGAAAGACTTTATATGAGCATCGGTTCCAAAGGTGATATAGTTATAGACGTTTGGAAGAGGGGAATTCCCGACTCTCAAAGGAACATTCTTCATAGCAATTTTGCGAATTGTGTTCTCCAGCCGATCAATGCTCACCAAAAATCTTAAGGATAAATTATCTCATTTGACCAACTCTTTGTTTACCAATTTCCCTGTTCATGTGAAGTTAGGTATATAGGTCGTTCAATGCGAATTTTCTCCAAAAGAATTCGAGAATACTATCTGATTTGACTGAAAACAGGCGGAAATGATTAAATAAGAAGTTCGATAATCGAAAATCATGTGAACACAGGTCACTCAACTAAAGCGGCTTCTGCAACCAGAAAGGATTCTTTCAATTAAATAAGTTCCTTTCATTTATATGAAGGTAAACGAAAATTATAATAGGACCACCATGTCTGATACCTTCTCAAGTCACTATATTGAACTAGCTCTAGGACCCCAACTAAATATTCGTGAAGAACTGACATGCCAGTCCTGTACAACTTTCTTTCATACCACAACACTGTACCATAAACTGACCACCTCTTCGTTCTCTCCAACCAGTACCAGCGTCGGTAAACAATTTATAATGTGGAATCAGCCGGGACGACATTCGTAGTACATCCCTAAGCCATTTAATTCAGTGTTTCAAGGTGACACATTGGATTACCGCTACTGTCACAGGACACCCGCTACCGAACATTTGCATTACTAACATGGTGTTGGCACGGAATGTCAACAATTCTTCGGAAGCAACGATAGTCGAAAATATGGATTTGGTTAGTATCCTCAACTAGGAGAGACGGGGTTTCACAAGCACAGAGCAAAGCTGTTCTCAATGGCACGTTGTAAATACTGATTCCTTAACATCGGTAGCAAAGTAGTTGTGAAAGGTGAATATTAACAAGAGGGTACAATAAAGTCAAAAAGGAGCACATAAAGAGGTAGTTACTGAAATGAAGAAAACGTTTGTATGTGATTGGACGTAGCACTTTTCATAATAAAATAGTTAACGAATTTTTGACGTATGTAAAAGTGTAGACGGCTTATTGTTGTTGCGAAACTTCACAGCTTGAAGGAAATTTTTAAGTACTTCCATGTAAGATATATTGAAAGTATTGCCTAATGAAGAACTTTCGTTCGTCCCCAAAATAATCATGCACTGGCAACGAAATACTATATGACAAGATAAAATGAATAACTGTATGGTTGACTTTTTTTTACCACCATTGTAAAGTGAAAGGCAGAATGGTTAGGAGTTCAAGCTCACTGGTTCAACCATGTTATTGCTGTCCCATTCCTATCAAGATGGATAACCTCACCTTTAAACAGTGCACAATATCTACACTCTTCTGGCAGCTATTTTCAGATTTACGTCTCTAAACCCAAACCCCCTGAAGTGGAAAGACCTCAAGGAACAAGAATTTCAGCTATCATAGATCGAATACGTTCACAGCAATCGACAAACCCGGTTACAATATCAATATAGGAGCTTATGGTTACGCATAACAGCAAACAGGTCCCAATTGCTTAAAATAACTGTAAAATACGATTCAAACTCCAAAGGAACGAAATCAAATCTACAGTTACCTCCGCTTCTGGCTCATAAAAGTAATTTACGATTGTCCAATTGTATTTTGAGGATAATAACCCCCACAATGAGCAAGTTCGGCTGGCGACTGAAGCTTTTTGACGTTCTTTTTCAGAATTACAAAGAAATGTACCAAATAAGTTTGAACAGATATGTAAGCCAAGTTTTAGCTATATAACAAAAAAATCACAAATTCATAATAATTAAAATCCAGTCTTCAGACTGGCATACTTAAGAACACACATATACATATCTAAAATGGGAAACTAACTAAACTGAACAGGGTGTATTGACTATCAAAACATTAAGATAATAAAGGGAACTATGTGTATGAAAAAACATTGATTAACCACTACAGCGATATACAAAGTAATGTGTTAATTTTTCACTTCACAACGTAAACTAAAAAGCCAATAACTATGGCTCCCTCATAGACCTTTGTTTGAATTCCATTAAATGATGTATAGGTTTCATTCCATCTTAGCTCCCGAAGTTTTGTCAACCCAACAAGCTGACGACGTATATCAGATAGCCATACTCAACGTAGAACCTGGAACAAACATGTTAGCCAAGGTTCTCATAATGCAGTATACGATTCGAACGAAGTCATTCATTAAAATATCAAATTTATATGTTCTACGGTTCCTCACACTTTAATCTATTGATATATTCAAACTCGACAACTATTAAAAATTGAAGAAACCTTGGAGGATAACAGTTAAGTGAATACAACGTAAATGTCCCTAGATGATTTTTGGGAAATAAAAATATAACTACCATGTGATAATAATCCTCGAATAAGCATGCCTATATATATATATATATATATATATATATATATATATATATATATATACCGGTAAGTACTGAGACCTTAATAAGTAGTAAGACATTCATTAGAGGCTGTGAATCTATGGTCAAACGAAGAAATATATCTACTTACGTAATCCAAAACATATTCAGAAAGTACTTTAAAACTGAACAGTGAAAAATCGAATAACTGTTGTGTAAAAACCACAGTTCGTATGATGATAAATGGATTAAAAAAGTAATTCGGAATTTTCCATCAGATAATGTTCACGAAAAGTAGCTAGATATGGATTGCGTTTCAAAATTTACTGTAGATAGATATTATTTAGCTTGAAATAATTTATGCGAATACCTACCAGAAATGATTCATTAAATTCAAAACAATGAGGAAACTGGTTGCGAATTTGATGGACGCAATCAAGCCATTGTAAAAATATTGGACTTTGCTCATTTATGTTTAATGAGGGTGAAGCATGTCCACTTCGATCAGAAAACTTGTGACCGAATTGTAGCCATTCACGTTCAACAAGAATATTGAAACCCTATATATAAAAAACATAGAAATTTTAAAATATTTCGATAACATACACCGTAGTTATGATCTTAGAAGTTTAGCGCTACTCTCACCTGAATTGTTCGATAAAATGGATCTGCTAACAATTGGGCTAAGGAACTTATTTGAGGTGTTCGATCCCAACCATCTGTGCAATGAACCATAACCGGACGAGCATTTTCTTCTAATGCGATAGCAATTTCTGTGGCAGTTTTTAATAGCTGGCCAATATTATTTAACCATGATGATTTTTCTAATGAAGAAAACCAACTACAATTGAAAACAATAAAATTATTCGGTCCATATATCGAAAACAATTAAGGTGTTCTGAAGTGTTTCAAACCCGAAATTCTAATATTTAAACAACTAAATCATGATGTAAAACAAACAAAACATCTATGATACCACGGAAATTTCACAACATGACGATGAATTTTCACAACTATATAAATACAGAAAAATCACCAACGATATTAGATATTCTTTTATCTAGTACTGGATCTTCAAAATTACGTGATAATTTGAACTAGAAGTGAAAAAAAACTTCCATAATAAAAGCAAGACAAATAATTTACCAACACTGTTTAGTTTATAAGATGAAAATATTTTGATTTATTCCTGACTAGAAAAATATATTGGTGAAACTTTTATCAACATTCTTTGTAAATATACATCTTTTGACAACACATAGATCGGATAATAGGTAATAAATGATTTAACATCTCATAGAAAAATGGTTAACATATAGAAATAAATAAGATCTTACGAATATGAGTGATATAAAACAATTTTCATTGTGTAACAATATCACGTGAATTATTACGGAAACGCAAGAAGGGATGGGTGGTTCATTAATCCTACTTTAGGACGTTTTCAAAAATCCACATTTGTTGACCATTCTAGAATTGAATAAAACATATTTTAGATCTGGCAATAACGCTACCGTTGAACCAGTATGAATAATGTTTGTAACAGAAATGTTCCAAGGAACTTTTTCCAATAAAAATACTCTGAGAAGTTGGTCATGAAACAGATTTTGACAAACTAATGTAATTTTCAACCAAATAGAATAAAACAGTTAATTGCAAATAATTAAAGCCTAACTTAAAAAGTGATTGTAACAAACTATCTTACTTAGGACATTTGCCAGCGAACAGATTAGTTAGGGATTCAAAATTTGAACGAACAGTATGTAGATTAGGTAAATCCATAAAAACAACTTCTGCTTGATCATAGTATTCTGGATATTCAAAACCACCACCACGTATTCGATTGAATTGTGCACTGCTACGACTTCTAGCATCCACAATCATCAAACGATGAGTATCTAATAACGATAAATAATAGTATTATTACTTTATTTCATGTTAAGATAACAGTAATATGCACCAGCTATATTTATGATTGAAAGAATAGGTTACTACTCCTTATCACAAGCATACACACGTTTTAAGTGGTGGACATGAAGTGTACTTAAAACTAAAAGTCATTTTTGATCATCTAGAGAACCCTAAACTATAAAATACCCTAAAGAGTATTTGAGAATCAAACGAGTATTTTATATTTAGTCCAGTAGACTATAAATCAAATTAAGAAGAAAAAAGCTCTTGCAAATTTAATGCTTAACTACAAGCCGGATACTCCCTAGACATACAGATGTTTTATCTGTGAGATATACGGTATTTGAAACAAAAGTACAGAAATTCTAAAAATCTAATATGTTATAGGAATATGGTTTAAAACAAAGGTATAATATGCCTTTTATTTAGTTAAATAGATAAAGATTACATTATGTAAGAATTCGTTAACAGATGTAACGGTCGTTTAATTAAAGACATATCATATCACTAAATATTTTCTATTACACCTGGATAAGAACTATGAAACAGTGACTTTTACTGACTGAAGATTTTATTTATTTCAACACATAAATATTGGTACAAGAGGGAACCAAATACATATGCGCCACACAAATCTCATTCGATATGTGTGAGGGCTGTGATACTGCCCGGGTGCCCAAACCGAAGTAGGTGGTTTTCTTAGGGGGCCACACCCGGAGCCTTCGACCTCAAGGTCTGACCCACAAGGCGTTGGATCAACGTAAGGAGATGCGGTCTCACGGTAGCCGGTGACCAACAATTGGTTCTTACGCTGTTTTTCCCTTCAGGATACTGGAGTCCATGTGCACCATTGGTTTGGAATCCGGTTAAAGCGCCGGACATTCGCTTTTCGTCCTCTCATTTTCGTAAACAACACCCCCGCCACGAGAAGGCAGTGAGTAGGACTTCCCTGGTAGAGGCTATATACGCGTGGCCATGTGAGAGCATTTCGAGAGGGAGAGCGGACTCTCCCCACTCTCGACCGTACCAGGGCATTTGGGGGCCTACACGATAAAAGGTCCCAACGAATGACATCTATGGTAACAAAACAATAATGTAACGAGTATTACACCATACAGACAAACACTACAATCAAACCTTTGTTAGGATCTGAAACAGGTTTCTTTGGACAACAAGCAAGAACAGTTCGTAGGAATTTCTCGTCATACTCATTTCTGGAACACATTAATCCTACACAAGGTTGAGCGCAACGAAGTAAGACAGCTCCAGTTACCTGAGAACTATAAAGAACGCATTAAATACTTTAAGGAAATTACCGCCAGACAACTGTTAAAAATCGATTGTGACTTCGGAAACTAGCCATATTAATTATATCATTATCACTAATAGATCGAGGTACAATATGATGTCTCGGGTATGTGGAGCAAATTCTAAAAGATTAGATTTTTAAAAAATGGGAATTATATTTTACTTGAATTCGTTGTTAATATCTGTTATCTTCCATGTTTTATCAAAGTTCATGCGACGAAATTCAAAACATACTAACGCTGTATCCAAAGTTCTGTCCACATCTATATAATCGAAAGTTATATGTTACAGAGCTCTAAAAAAACACTTACCATTAATCTGCAACAATTCACAAGCACCTAAAGTTGAACAAAGTAAAAATAGTCCTATCAAACAAGGAAATTACAAAACTTACTTAAGAGAAAAGGATGGTTTGGAATGTTCGCTTCTAAAGATGAACGGAATTTACAAGCAAACAGAGAGTCTATATCTTTTGGTATATCTATTAATGACGTAATATGAGCATATCCAGCATCACAAGCAATTTCATCGACAAACGACCAGCTAGATGTATGAGAATTATCAAGAAAAAACAAATACTTACGTAACAGATATACCAATTTTGGTTATGATTTTGATGTGAATCATTTCAAATGCTTCAGCTTTCCATACTAAAGTAGTGGGTATACTCCATGAGCTTTGTGGTCTTTTCGTTGAAAATATAAGTCGATAGTTTGTAAGAGTCAAGATTCCGTCAGCTATCGACTTAGTGTTTACGGGTTCCTCTCCAGGAAGAAAGTGCATTGAAATCACATTCATTTTGACATTATTTCAACAAACGAAAGTGAGAACTAAAGACATTAGTACATGAGGGATTCTAAAAGACAATATTGTGCCAAGAAATGAACTGTTACATATACTTTAACTTTAAAAGAAAAAAACTTTCAAAAGCAAAAAAACTTGCTGTGTTAACTTAGCCTGATGTTCCAGGTTCGGTGTTAATTATGATGAACAGATATAGATCCACAGAACATTACATCTGACATTCTTCACTAAATGTAAGAATTTTAGATGAGCAAACCAACGGAAATCGTCACATACGATCAAATTTATTTACTAGAAACCAGTCAGTTACTAAGACATTAAAAGGTTATCTATAACTAAAGTCGTCAAATTCAGATAAACTTACAACAATAAATAAACTCTACAACACAGCTTTTAAATATTCGCTAACAAACTCGTTCTCGACCCGATCTATGGTGACTCTTCAACTAAGGGGTAAGTTACCTGATTCTGCCACATATATGTGTATCTGCAAATTCAGCTGCTCCTGTGGAGAAAATTATATTGGGCACACAACCAGACAACTGAGCCGACGAGTTAATGAATGTCTACGAAAAAAATCATAAGACTGACTAGATTCCTGATATGCCTCTCCACTATGCAAAATCTCATAGTGTTAGCGGGACATAAACTGGATTAAAGCATGCTCAATGCACATAGTGATGGCCATTTCGAAGGAAACGGCTACCGAATGGATCCCTTGTTACAGTTGGAATAAGCTAAACTACGATTAGCTCAGACAGAGAAATTGAGCTAGAGAGGTTACGTCAAAAGGGAAGAGAACATTATCGTCAAGCTGTGGTTGATAAGGTGATGTCGTACGAGTCTACATCTGCCTCACGTGTAATTGATGTTCCTCCTGGAATGGACTGGTTAACAATGATATCTAAAGCTTTAGACCTACCAAAGAGAGAGACCATAAGGTTTGATGGCTACCCCATGGACTATTGGAGTTTCATTTAAATTTCGAAGACAGACCAATTGTGGTCCGGAAGAACGAGTCAGAACAACTCTGCTGAAGATAGCAACTGAAGAAATCAGCCGGGATGCACGACTTATATAACTACTGGAAGAAGCCGATTATATGAATGCGACAGTAGTGAAGTCTGGACGTGGTGTCCGATTGGGGGGAATGTTAGTTATATCCATAACTAACCAATCAAATCGTTGCTTAAGCGCCCACTATGTCAATCTGGTCGGAAGTGTCTGTAAACTATCCCCGTCGCATGTAACCTGCTAATTGAAGGACATTATTATCCTGTGATATTAGTGACTCATAATTTTTATTCATTTCGATAAGACACAATACTGGTCGGTATGTTCGTGAGTTCTACTTAATAACTATAATTCCTTTAATTATTGTACTAATCAAATTGTTATTTTTACGTTTAGAAACAGATAGAGTTTAAAGCCGAGTTGTCCGTGTTTTGACTATGGCTTTCACATAGACTCTATGGTCGCCGGTATCACGTTTACAATCTAGTAGTATATCTGTAGTACAAATTAGATCCTACAATGGACACCTCCCTAAGTGGCCAGGAAAGGGTACCGTCAAAACAATACGCAGGTTTGTCCCATCACACTTGATCGATAGCGGTTATGTAGTAAATAGAAATAGGTCATTTGCAGTGACTTATTGTATACCTGCTAGTTTTCCTTATGGGGTTCGATCTCGCTCTTACACGGCAAACGTTATAGGAATTTGAGTCTTTGTGTTCACACGAAATTTGTAACACCTTTGTCTTTTCCTTGGACAAATTAGCCTGAACAAAATAAACTTATTTATTATTTTTCATACTCTTTGTTCGTTTATTTTTCTTCGATCCTCCCCCTTTTTTGAAATATACGCCAGATTGACCGATTATCTGAACACTTCTTATTAAGCAATCTTATAATTTATATGAATGTTATTTCAGCATCTATATTTTTCAAGTCATTAACCTATTTCACATTATGGAACATTAATCCAACCCTTTGTTTTTCTAATCACAACTATTACACCTGTTATCACAATATCAATTTGTACTTTTTGCTTATTATTTTTAGTTGTGTAATTTATTCCACTGTTACCACAGACTCATAAGCTGCCTTGATTGGTTTAATAATTTTGTGTATCTATTCAAAGATAACTATATATTAGAGTAAAGCCTGATGAGGTTCTAATTGGAAACAATATTCTTCGCTCATATATGTTGTTCTTATTCGTTACTCCCACAAGTTCGAGACGTAAAATGAGTTAATAGAGGAATCAAGTGACAGAAAATTGTCACGATACAAAGACCGCTTGAAGACTACCTGGGATATGTAAAGACGAAGAACGTGTTTGGAAAGAATTAGTAGAGCACTAAGTCAATAAAGAAGCCCGTCTTGAAAGAGCATATATGATACTCAAACAATTGCAGATCAGTGAAATCTATCAGTAACTTGAACCCAAAATAACCTCGTCAATGTGAACATCTGTTTACGGCCATCCACAGTCAACCACCTGCAAAAAAGAACCTGGCACGTATATGCATCGGTTCAAGTTCTCATACCAAATGAGCATAACAAGATAATCAAGGTGAATACCAGAGTATTAAAAGTGGTAACAGTATCAGTGGTAGTAGAAGAGATTAGGTGTAAGACAATTTCTGCACTCAATTTCTAAGGAAGGGAAAAAAGCAAGTTTACCTGCTCCATGGTGGACGGTTCTAAGCCATATCACCCAGCCTCTAACTATTAGTTACGATAATCATGCAGAACCCAGCCAGATATCGTGCACCTACCTATACGGCTCAGTCCGGCAGTTAGTAACCTCACGAACTGATGCTACATTTTGGTTTTGCCGCTTCTAACTTTCTTCCAGCTTACTCCCACATTAATTATCATCACGTGTCAAAGTAGGCGGTAGTTGACCATACGTAACACAACCATCTCAACCAATAAAGATTCATCACCTTATCAATCGATTTGGCATCCTTACCTAGTACTATGATGAACGAAGACGACGATAGGGTAGACCAATTTTCGTACGAAGCGAAATCACACATTGTATATGTAAATACGAAAACAACACATTGAATACACCATTTACACATTTTCCTTAAATTGTCACTTGAAAGCTCTGTCGTTCTTTCATTCCTGTTGCTACTCGGACTGTTTTTTTTACTTTTCTTTCTCTTCTCATGTTCCTCTTCTGTTAGTAAGAATCCTACTTCCAAATCTTGACACACTACTTACATCTGTCCGTATAAGTATCACGGACCACAGTACGATGCCCAACCTTCGCATTGCTAACTCGACGATCCGAAAATACACGAGCAATGCTTCGCATGCATTTGTGATCAAATACTAGTGATTTGCAAATGTCCACTATTCATAATAACCATGCTTCACGCCCATAAAAAAACAGCGAACTACTGAGCAGTACACTGGTCCTTCGTTAGGCAAATGAACATCTCACATACGACACACAAGCTTAGGAAAACCGACAGAACTTTCTGAATCCGTGCCATGATTCCGTCAGATACCAACTTGCGGGAGTGATGGCAGACACCCTCAACTACTTTACTGCCTACCATTGATCCAAGAGTTGATGCAGACCAGTCCTGAAGCAACTTTTTGGATTGAAAAGGAGAGATACAGGCTAGGTATGCTTATCATGTTGTTTAAGGTCGACAGGAGACTGTATTTTTTCAGCGTCTTCATCAGACAGGACTACGTTATCTGCATACTTCACAACAAGTGAATCTGCTTGTAGATCAATTCCTCAAGTCAGACGACAAGACCGTCATTTTTAAGGGAATGTCGATGAGTAAATAAATAAAAATTGTGAAAGCAGACAACCTTGCTGAACAAAATTTGAAGTTAACAGTTCCAATGACAGTTCGCCAAAAACACTCAACAAGTACTGTTTAAGTAGAAACCATGTACAAGGTTGATATATTTCTTTGGCATCCCTTTCAATGACACACTACCACAAGGCCTTTCGATCAATAGGTCAAGGAACATAAGTATGGCTGGGAGTTGGTAGGTAAGAATGCGTTCCTGAACCTAATGAAGAACGAATTGTTTTATACATCTAGGTCACAAACCAGCCCAGTCTCCCCGGATTCCCTTATCATAAGACGGTAATATTTTAGATAATATATTAGTTAAACTGATCTTTCTGTGGTCATGATCAGAATTTTCATCCTTTCTTATTGACTAGAACGATCAGTCAAGTAGGATTACGTTCGGTTTCCAAATTATTTCTAGTGTCTTAGTCAACTTAACTGATAAAACTGGACTACCATGACTAAACATCTTCGGGAATAGTCCGTTTTGACCTGCTTCTCTTTTCTTAAATATAATCTTTTCAATCTCACTAAGTTGAAGAACTTAGTCAATTTGCCATTCAGGTTGTTTGAAGATGGTGGGTGACTGAAGGAAATCTGGATACCAGTTGAACTGTTGTTTAAAAATATTTTGCCCATCGGTATAATTTAGATAGAGACTGAATGGTAGTCTCATCTTTTGTGAGAGATGATTAGTCAATCCCAACGTTGAACGTGGTACGTATGTAAATCGGTTCAAGTTGCCCTATCTCGTTAACAGAGATGAAATCGTCAGGTCAAATTCTAGAATATTAGAAGCAGTGACAGTATTAGTGGTAATTGGAAAAATTGGGCATCGAAGATACGATTCAAGAAAATATAAATTAGCGAAATAAAAAAGTGATAGGTATATTAGAACCTCGGAATTTGGGGAAAGACAAAGGACAAATCGCCATTGCTTACTCGATGGTCGCGAAATACACAAGTGGTGCCTAGAAGACAGGTATAATCGAATACAACTAACGTGGTCAGTCAGTCAGTCAGCTACAACGTATGACCAGGTACATGTATGCATCGGTCCAGGTTGCCATACCGCATTAGCACAGCAAGATGAACACCGGATTCATAGCAGTGGTTAGGTCAAAGGTGGTAATATATAAGAGAAAGATTGCATATTGAGAT